TCAAGCGTTTGGAATTACGATAAACTTTGTTAGACCGTAAGGAATTGCAGTTTAATTTGGCATATCGTTCGTTCGGTACACATTCATTTATAAATTTCACTTACTATATTGTTTCAGCAAGTCTAGCACTGTACTTCAGAGACTTATTGAAAACTATGTATATTAGAGTAAAGCCTGAGGAGATTTAATTTAAAACAAAATTTGTAGCTTATATTCAGTGTTAGGATTTTCAAAATGTAGTCTTTAATATTTTTATGATGTAATCTAATGAAAAGTACTCTTAAGATATCGTCAGTGTGTAATTAGACTTCAGTCTTATATAAGACTATTTAAGGTTTCTCGTAAAATCTGCATACAAAAAACAATCACCATCGCTGAAGCAAAGCTATTAGGGCTAAGCGGTAACTTTATTTTCATGTCTAGTGATGGCTACACGTGTATTAGTGGTGAAACTGATGAAGATATGTATAAGCAACACTTATCTAATACACTCTGGTTTTAAAATGTTCTCTACTGGTGTCAATAAGTGATCGAAGCTGTTTAAAATGGATTATTTTCCCACACTCCCATTATATATATATATATAGTTGGTTGACTACTCTGTTTCATCTACTTGTAAAGGAAACAACAGTTTTAGTCTGAAGTATGACTCAAAGTTTCTTGCTAAACAAGACTTGAAAGTCCTGAATTCCATCTTGTAAGGGGTTTAAAGTAAAATATGCACGAACATTTCGGTCATTTCCAAGCCAATTTTAGTCTCTAAGGTTAATTTCCTTGAAACACACATCACAGTCTGAAAGAAGTGTTAGACTTTAAGCTTTTCTAGCAGATAAACTTTCTGTTAACAGTAGAACTAAATAAAGTATTTTATTTTTAGGAGTAACTTCTTGAATGTTGTGGTGATCTGAATAATACTTGTTATGCAAAAGTCCTTTTAAGATGTATGACATTCCAGACCTAACGTAATTCAATTCGTCATACTGACGACATATTTGAGGTAAAATTCAGTGAATAAACATTCTAGTGTACCAACTGGAAACTATGGTGTTTTCCTGTCTTATATCAGTGAATATTTTGTGTTGGTTTATACCACCAAAACTAACGATTTTTGTTATAACTTGGACCCCGAAAACCTGGTGGTCGTTGCCACGGTCAATTAAAAAACAGAACATTCTGAAAATCTGAGAAATAGAACTTAAATTTCCACAGCTATTTACTTAATTTTAAACAAGATTCTTCAACAGAATTAATTATATGTATGCATACACTTTATATCGTTTATGATGTTTTCAGAAAGGAAAATACACTGAATCCAAAAGGATTAATTATTCATAATACTGCCTCAGAACAAAGAAAAAAGTGCATCTGACTCAGTTATTACGAAGTGTTATGTCTATTTAAATGTGGTCGTGTAGTATTTCACTTGACTAACAACCTCAAAAGCATGACTAAATCAATGGTATTAGAGATCACTGATTTTTTATGATTAACTGTACAACAGTTGTGCATATTCACTTCATGAAAAATGGAAAGTTTACGTGACTGGTTTAGCTTAAGCTTGTAAACTCCTTTTGAATTAATGAACTAGCTATTAAGAATCAAGCTTCATACACCCATGAGAAGCAAATTTATCGATTACCACACACCACTCACATCCACCTAAAGCTTCCCCGTTCAGAAAGATCGGATATTTGTGCCTAAAATAATCATCCGAAGCTGTGTTTCCCAACATTTACGTCCAGTAAATCATACAATGTTAGAAAAGTAGTAGTAATAGTAATAATAATAATAGTAATGCAAGTGGAAAAGTAAGTACCACTATCAGAAAATATTAGGCTGTTCAAATTCTATTTCTTTATTGTTTACTAGTTTTAACGAAAGATTGTCTTGTGATTAGCTAACAAAATTTGCTTCCTTAGGTTTGTAATTTCCTTCAAATTATTTTCAACCAGTTTTCCGTATTGGTTGTGTTATGCCTTTAGTACTTAGATATTAAGCATAAAAGTAAGTCAGATTAGCATTTTATCAGCCCTTATTGTTTCTTTGCTAGTTGTACAAACAGGTGTCTTTGTGGAAATCATCTTAAGATGAAGGCTGTTAAGCATAGACATACACATATACAACGACTGCCTTAGTACTTGTTCCTATTCCCCGATTTTCACATCCCCTCTCCACTGTCCTATCCTGGCTTTATTAAGCCTTTGCTCCTAATGGCGTTGGCTTACGAGATGAACATAATAAATGTGACCTTAATGACGTATATGAGAAGACACACTGAAGCCGTATAACTGCATTAATCTATTTTCTTTTATCCTTATTCAAATTAAAGTTAACTTTATAAAGACAAGATTTACATAGAAAGACAGGAATATCCATTTTGCTTCATTGTATCTACCTTTTAATAACGCCCAGTGTCTTTCTACCCGCTCCAAGTTATACCACAAGTGTTTTAAGCCCAGATATTTCATTCTCTTACACTTTCCTACACTCTGGTTCTGTATTAAATCTATTGACTACTTTTAGTCTATCGACAAATACCGGTTTTTAGAAACAATTACATCAGTTTTCCATGGGTTATACAAAAACTAACGGCTGACTGATACTATGAAATCTTCGTGAAGGATCTGACTAGATTTGTTAAAGACAGAGAATTTCTCGACCGAACTTCTGCGCTGGTACTTATGTTAAACTTAGAGCTACCGAAGGTGAGAAGAAAAACATAATGTTGTCTCTAATCAAATAGTCTGTTTACGGTAATATAGCTGTCAAGTGATTGATTAGAAAGCTTTCTCGAAATATTCTGGACGTATTTTGAACATTTCAGAAAACCCTGATTATCAACTATTTCAAGATCCAGAAATTCACGAACTTTTTAATACAGGAAATATTAGGCGTTTATTCACTTACATCTGTTGGTATACATAATATATATTGAGTAAACTATCACTTATCCTAGTGCTTTTGTTTTTTTGAAGTAATATTTTCATCTCCATTATTTTGTAGTAATAATACAAGATGTATCTAACATAACATGCTTCTGCTTTGTGAAAGATTAGCTGAATTACACTATCTGTTCATGATTATTCAGTTTGTTGTAAGCTTCTTAATAGAAACCTGCTTAAATAGTTCTCCATTGTCTATACGATTGGCAACAAATGAATTCTTTATTCACACATATCGTACTCGATCAGTTATCTGGGTAGACTAATGAGAATTAAATCGATTTTATGATGACAGCGTTATGATGTAAAATAAAAGCCTAACTTCTTACCAATGGCTGAAACAATATGTCTAAGCATTCAACGAAGACAATATATTTAATTACGTGAATATTTTCAAAAGGAAATTGTTACACGTCTAAAGCAGCGCATTTGATTGATACAAACCTTTTGACAAGCTGCGAAATCCCCAACGTTTAAAATTATTTTAAAGTGACCAGTGGTAAGTTAATGAACACAGAGAACTTCGAAACTAGAAAACAAGTGCGCAAATTTATTATTATTATTTCGAATAACAGGTAATTTTATTTACTCCAAGCTTTAACATTAGCTTATTTTTTCAAAGATCTTAAAAAGCAGTAAAAGAATTTTTAAGGAGTTTTAAAAAATTTCCAGTTTTAAAGTTTGGAAAAAGACCTAGTGAATGCTTTCGATGAGCATTGATAGAGCAAGGGTAACACACAAAAAAAGTGATTGTGATCAAGCTCACACAAATTCACACCGAAAAGAACGTAACAACAGATGGGGAACTGCGAATTGACACAAAAACGTTGATAAATTCGGAGAAGCAGCCAAAATGAACACCGGCTTAAATGGGTTGTTTTTACCATCCTTCCGTATATGCAACGAAATGTACTTACAGAAGCAGAAGAAAACAGTAATAATGATTATGCACAAACAAAGAACATATTCGAATAACACTACGATAATAAATTATAATAAGAAATAAACTGAAATAAAATTGGTATGTAATAATATTTAAAGGCAAAAGACATTAGAAATACAAAAGGATGATAAACGAAAGATGCACAAACGGAGTACACTTGTGTGGTAGCCGTTTACATCCTGGAAGAAAATGTTGAGGAATGTTAGTGCTTTTTTTAACACAGTAAATATATCAATTATGAAAACAGTGGTTAGTAAAATTATTGTTTCATTTGGAGATTTGTCTGCATGCCTATGCAAACCAAGGTGAGAATTAGTAAACGAGGTAAAGAAAGTTATTATTAGCACTATTATTATTTCAGAATGATATTCTATGAGAACACTTTTAATCAGTTAAATGGTGTATATTATATGTTTGATATGTTCAAAACCGTTAGGTAAAAAGTAAAACAATGAATTTTGAGTCAAGACTTATGTAACACAGTGAGAAAGGTACATATCAACTCACAGTGGGCTGGAAAAGAATACAACAATCTTTATTAGCTTGTTCCATCTTCTTTCAGAGGTAAAATAACTGCAGGTGATGTATCAGGGTGATTTAGAAACACGACTATTTTTGGTTAATCACATGATAAAAAGGAAGACGACGCTCGAAGGAAATACCCTATTATCTTGAAACTTAATTTCAAAAATCATGCACAAGAAAAACAAGAAGCTGATTCTCTTTTTGTTGATTATAATGAACTGGAGGATAAAATTTTTACCAAAATGATAATCACGTTTTTCTTAGAAATACTGTTTCCTATGAAAGCTTACATCACTACAAGATTCTTGATAATTAATATTCATGACGTTAATTCATAGTGTATATTAAGTTGAGTATAATAACCAATAAAGTAGAAAACGTTTTACAAAGGAAACAGAACCGTCAAAATAATTAAACTTAAACAAATACAAAAGTAAATTGGTAATGAAAAAACAAACAGTGCAAATACTTACACAGTTGTAATAAAGAAGTGTTTGAAAGGCGGGAAGATATGTTCACAAAGACTTAGGAAAGAATAAAATGGGATTATTATCACTGTTATGATCACTATTTTCTCAATGTTTCATCACTTATTCCCTACACAATCTGATCTGAGATTCGTTAAAATTCCCTTCAAACATCTGAACTGAAGCTTCAGTTAGAAACATTGTTAGACCATTTGATGAGTTGAATACATGAGAACCATTTGACCACTGGGAATCACTTGATGAATTTTGCTGCAATGATATGACATCATTTTCCATTTCTAAGTTTTCAGGCCACTGAGGCTGATTTTCTTGTTGAATTTTGTCAGACAGTAAATTGCCAACATTTTTATTATTATTAATATTTTTCTGATGACATGTGGATGAGGTATTCCAGTCATGTGCCAATGAATCACCTGAATCTAGGAATGTATCACTGTTAAAACCAGTTGTTAAAGAGAAGTCAATGTCTAGTGGGATTGTTCCACCACTATCAACTAGTACATCCAATGACTCAAAATCCAAACCAACTGTTTCTAAACCAAGCTCTTCTAGTATCGGATTATTGTCATTTGACGAGTGAACATTTGACGATTCAATAGGTTGTTTAGAATCACTTACAAAAATCTCAGGTATATCTTTAGCACTTTTTGATAAAAACGAAGGCGTCTTCAACAAACAGGAAGACGATGTTGGTGGTACTGGTGGAGATGATAAAGATGTCGGTGATGATTGCAATGTTGAGGTTGAATGGACTCCTGATTCGAAGCTTTCATTTGTAAATAGATTGAAAGCATCATCAGTTTGCTTGTTGTCGTTGAATAAACAGTCTAAATCACTACCATCGTCATCAGAAAGAAATACAGATGCCCAATTAGCTAACGTTGATTCGTCAGCTGATGATGATTTATTAACTGAATTACTATCACCTGGCAATGTTGAAGGTAAGAGTAAATTATTTTGCATATAATCATTCTGGACAAATCCATTTTTTGCCGTTGACTTTAAAACCTTCATACCATTATTATCAGAATTCTCCGAATGCTGATAACTAGGAGTCCCACAAGATGAATGAAACTGATCTATTGATTTGGAGTTAGGGAATACGTTAGAAAGATCAGAATGATAGGAAAAGGTTGAAGCTGAAGAGCTTGAAGAGCATGCAGATACGTTAAAAGCTCCTCTATCATTATTATTATTATTAATCTTGAAAGCAGACTCAGACTGGAAAGCTGTAATATTACTTGTCATTTGATGTGGATTACAGTTTGGCAAACAATAATCTTCACATAAACCACAGGAAGATGAAGTAGTAACAGTTGAATCTACTTTTTTCATCGTTGTATGGGCATGATGAGATGAACCATATGTTATGTGATTTTCTGCTTTAGTGAGAGGTGGCCAAATATAACTGGAATCCATATTATTGCCATTCTTGTTCTCATCATCACTGTCAATGTAGCCTAATAACGGGCTTAACCCACATTTCCCTAAGAGATCATTAGAATCCCATTGTGTCAGTTTATGATCATCGTACCTTTTGTTCTTTCTATAACTAAGAGATTCCAACTTATTGCCGTGGCTTGTTTGATGACTGCCATTCTCTAAATTGTCAGATATGATTGGATTAGGACGCGGAAGTGCCCAGCGGGAATACCTCTGACGTGGCTAGAAGGTGAGATTTAAATAAAAACAAATAATGCTTAGAAATATAATAACAAAAAATTCAAATGATAAAAAACACACTTCATCAAAATATAGGTAACCCACTCCGTTTCTTAACGTAGATAGTCCCATCAAGTCATAAAAGGCAAAAAAACTTCAGCAAAACAACTTTTTTCGGTGATATCCTCCTCATACATTCAATGGGTAAACGTTTTTAACTCAGTTATTAATTCCTCATTACCTTCCATACTGGCCTACGTTAATTCCCTTTTCACGAGTTCTTCGATTCTTGATTTCAGCTTACTGATGCATGTTGTTAAACATTTACATGTTTCTTGTGAAACTTTCAATCTTAAGTTATTTACCTAGCCATAACCCACTAAGAATTACTGACTAACAAATATATATATATATATATATATATATATATATATATATATATATATATATATATATATAATCTTTACCAAGCATCGACAGTGTCGCTGACAGTTATGGTAGTCTATGAGAAGAGTAACACACGAAATAGAACATCTATGTTCAAAAAACGACATTTACATGAAGAAAGCAGTCTAAAAAAGTTATCGATAGCGATGATTAGAGAAAATATGACAAATTGTAACAATATTAGGAAGTTCGGGAAGTTTCTTGAATATTCAAAGAACCACATAAGATGAAATAAATAGTGAGACATAGAAAGAAAGGTGTGAATATACAAAACTAGTTGAAATTAATACTATGAAAGAAGAAAGGTTTCGGCAAGTTTCTTTGGTGTGTATGTTTTGCCGTCCTTAACGGCTCAGTTCGAAGAATATGAAGACTTATCGTCTCCAGAAGAATACTTCTTACACCATAAATAATTTTGAACTCAGATTCCTTAAAATTTATAATTCAGTGTCAATAATATTTTCAATAATGGCACATTTTATAGACCCACCATTAATTGTTGCCAAGATGATGTTTTTAGACTCTTCTGGATGAAACTGGCATCCAGCGAGCTATTTACTTTGCCGCACAAGAGCTAGTCAAATGCAATAGTTCAGGCTTCAGGTTATTGGAGAATAGTTGACGATTAGAGAACAATTATCTCATCATTGATGTAAAGCATGTATTCCGAAGAGAGTTTAATATCCTTTCCTAGAGACTGTCAACCCCGAAACTATTATTACAGTCTGTGTTCATGTAGAGCATGTTTTTTGGCATAGTAGCAAAGACATCTTTGTGAGGTTAAGGTTTTATGCTTTTGTCTATAAAACATGGGGGGGGATCCATATCTTTCTGATCAGGATTGTTCATAGAAAAATCTGTTCTCTTGATACATCTAAGCTGCATATTCTTCAGACGAGGATGGCGAAAAATAAAATTCGTCACACAGATTGAATATGTTGTAGAAAGTGGCTCACAAACATTGGATTCTTTAATGTTTATATTACAGATGAAGATAAGGTCAGTTTCTGATCGATAATTTGCGTAACTAGCATCTAAGATTTAGCACCATGTCGTCTTACTGAATAAAAAAAGGAACTTTGGGCATCGTCAAGTGAATTTAACAACTTTATTGTTATTAAGTAAACATAAGTGGCAAGTAAAATCTCTACTTACATAGATAGAATTGACACTGTAGTCGGTGCTTGTACATTATTTTTTATGATAATCAGAATAAAAGGCCATATTAAGACCCACCTGAAGCCACTACCTGTTTCAAGGCAAAAACTTAACGTTAAGATGAAGTCATAGTTTTGGCAATTAGCTTAAAGGAACTGAAATGAGCGCCCACAAGTTTACTTGCCAATGCCGACTTTCCTAAGTAATAACCAATTAAGATAACAAAACACTACCTACAATAAGGCATTTAACGCAAAGCATCATAAAAAATTTTTGTTCAAATAACAAAAAGCTCTTTTAACCGTGTTTCACTCTGCATTATCCCCTTGCTTACGCAACGAAAATAATGACTTGAAGGAAAATTTGGAACGAAATGCCTGACTAACAAAATTAACGTAGAACCTCGTATACAAGTGCATCATCTCAAGTTACCACACTTCACAGTGGTATAGAGAGAACAAAGTGGATAGAAAGTGAGTGACAAAGTAGACGAAGTTGTGTGAGAGAATAAACAATTTGAAGATAATAGTTACTGTGAATATTCAAGCTTTAGAAGACATCATGGAGGGAATACATTTGCGCCATTGTGATCGATTTACAGCTATGCTAGAAAGAGTCATCACTTATTGATTCCTATCATCTTATGGACCCCAGAAAGGCAGTCTATATCTCCTCACATGGTTCAGACCAACAGTCAGAGACTTCACCATTAGCCTTCTTCCGATCTAATCCAACTTCCCCTAGCATGGAACATTGACTGTTCAAAACCATATATTAGTTCACTTAGTGAAAAGTTACCAAAAAAGACAAATGTCAATACCTTAGATTGTGTTATGCACGCTTGTAGTAAGCAGCTCAAATTGAAACAATAAATGTATTGATGAGTAAACGGCATATTGATGACTATGAACAAAAAGGAATCTATTTTTGAGATGAATGAGTATTTTAATTTAGAGGTAGTCCACAGGTCACGGCTTCTCATTAGAGCTTCGTGATATCCATCTGGAAGCAATTCACTAATGAACACTGAATGGTTAACGCGTTCGCCGTGAAATCTGAAGGCCCTGAGTTCGATCCCTAGCTGGGTCGTGGGTGTGTATGGCTGAGAAGTCCCATACTGGGACGAAACAGTTGTCCAGCGCTCCCAGATTTTCAATAGTTTCCCAACCGATATCAGTCCACGATGAATACTACCTTAAAAAAGGAATCTGTCTACACTAAATCCAGATACTCTGATAAAATATAATTTCATTCAAATATTTTCCTAATGCAGGGAAAGTGAAGTCGTAATGAATTTGTCGTCCACAAAAGAATAAATGAATAGTTATGACTTTAAATTACATTAGATAAATAAAATACCATATAGCTCTTAACACGAACATTTCTTTTACTTTTGTAAAATGCTGTATTGGAGAATGTGATGTGAGATTCTCTACTGTCCGTGATCAAAGCAGGGAAGCTATGGAGATATGAAAGGGGTGATTATTTCAAAATTATTTTCACTGTGTAATTCGATAAATTTTGTATGTCCGTTCAACTAGATTCAAAGTAAGCTTTAGAGTGACATGCAGGCTAAGAAATGTCTATCTTTTCGAAGATAATTACGGCAAAATACATTGTCATTCAGTCCATATAAGCGCTCGAAATTCAATTGGTTGGCAAAATCAAATGAGATAGACATTTAGCAATCAACAACAAACGCGAAATGAATTATTTTTAAAAAAACAAAATTTCTGACAAGCTAGGGACATGGCATGTCAAATTATTTATCTTATATATCTTGGTGTGAAAGAATATTTTTGTTGTAAGTCTGTATTGTAAGTTTGAACAGTAGACTTGCATTTGCGTACCAAAATACAACTAAACTAAGTACTAATTATATGCAAATTCAAAGTTATTATTGAACTGCAAAAATGTCACTTATTCATATTCTAATAAAAGACTAAGGTTTAACCATTTTAAGTGCATTTGATACAGAATCAGAAATGTACACAGATGGTCTAGACTGACTCACCAAAGATAATTATTGCTATCAAATATCTCAAACTGATTCTAACTTGAAAGTGACAATGAATTCAAAAAGGAATTCAGGAAAAAAGATAATAAAAACAGTAATTCTTTCCTATATCAAGGGATTGACAACAGTAATCCAAAACTTGCTTACACAGACACATTTAATCTTTGTCCTGATGGTGTGCAGAAACGAAGAACAGTTCATATTGTCTGATGAGTTAGGAAGGAAAAAGAATACAGAAAGCAAGACAGAGTCAGCTAATACCAGTGGTAGAAATAAATCTCATTCACATTAGAAACTCTCAAGAGTTATTCTCCTAAAGCGTATAAAATGTTTGCAAGTTGAAAGATGAAGAACCATATGTGAAAACAGATTTCATAGATTTTTTATACGAATAATGGTGAAGGAAAACTCCCTTCAACAGACATCTGTCAAAATATTCTTACATAAGTTCCCGTGAAAAAAGGTCAATTAGGCATTTGTTTTGTTATAAAAGAAAACTCTATGGCATATAATTTAACCTCGAGAATAAACATTTTGCATATTCTCAGTATGCTTTATTGCTTGTATTGTCGTAATGGTAGTCGCCCGTGTTATACAATCAAACAAAAAGTTATCTTCTCCCAAAATTTATTCTGTTTCAGAGCTGATTTGGACAATCCTCATCGCTGCCTTTCATTAATGCTATTAGAAATCGCAAAAAGCCTTCCATACTACTCTTTTCCACTGTCGAAGAAAACGAAAGGATCTAACTATACACAGTCCATCCTGTTACAGTGATGCACGACTGATAACAATATGGATAAGTGGATGACCCGTAGATAATATGGTATTACTTGGTTTTTTTCAACTTGTTTCGGTAAATATAAAAAGTTAAATTACTATGTAGAAATTACACCACTTGAAAAAACAAATAAGTCTTTGGAGAAACTAAGAGTAAAAGTGAATTGAAAATGAGACCATAAAATTTATTTCATTAACAGTTTCAGGACTAGAACTATAGCACTTGTAACACTTCACTCTGTGAAAGTCACTATCTAATCTGTAAAAAGATATTTAAAGTGAGAATATACCCCGTTTTAAATATCAAGACGAAGACCATTTCATTTTAATTACCTTGCAGTTCAGTTAGTTTTAACCAAAATATTAATCTAAGAAATGTCCTAGGGTTACATTATTTTCATATACGATAAATACTTACAGGTAACACGCGAGTAGGAACTAACTTCGATTCATTTAATCCAGACTGTTTGATGTTTTGCTTTGATTTTGATCTTTTTAAGCGTTCGAAAGCTGTACTACGATTGATGACGCGAGATTTATCAAAATTAGATTTTGATCTGTTTTTACAAGGTAACTGATCCAAATTATCACCATTACTGCGTGATAGTGATTGATTCTGCGAATTTTTGTAGTTGACTGAATTCACATTTGAATTAACACTTCGAGATTTTTTAGACCAATCTGAGTGAAAATTTGGCATAATTTGATTAGAGTCATAATTATTCAACTTGGAATAAATATTTGGTGACTTATTTGTTGAGTGAATGCTTTCAGTCCATGCTGATGAAGTATCATCTTCGGATAAGCTATCATCAGATTCAAATAGGACATTATTTGTAGCACCTCCCTGTGAGTGATTTTTAAACAAAGGACTTTTTCGTCTATGACTTGCCACCGTTTGCGTTACACAAGATTGTGACACATTACCAGATAGAGATAATGGAGGTAAAGTTGATGAGTTTTTTCATATCCGAAAGTGTACAATGATTCACAAGAACTGTATGAACTGCGTTTGGATAAGTATGAGCCGGTGCCACAGGAATCCTAGTGGATTGGAAATTTGCAGGCGAACCAACGGATGCAAATGATAATGGAGATGAGGATAAGGATGAATTTGAAGATGGTGATAAGGCTGAAACTTGGTGATTTTTGATAGACTCAGAAGATAACTCAGGAACACATATGGTTGCAGTAAATGATGAAGAGGTAGTTACTGAGTTGCCCACTGAAACAGATGATGGTGACAACATTAAACTTCTTGGTAATAGAGCTTGCTGATACTGACTTTGTTGTTGCATTTTACGTTGTTGCAATAACATGGACCTTGGAATCGGTGGTGGAGGTCCAGGAGGAGGTGCAGCACGCCGACACTTTGCTAGATTGGCTTCGAGCCAATCAATATGTCTTGGATTAACTCGCCAAAAGCCACCTTTTCCTCTTTCACCCTTGTCACGAGGAACTTTTTCAAAACACTTGTTTAGTGATAGGTTGTGACGTACAGAGTTCTGTAAGTTAAAATGAGTGTAATTAGCATTTGGAAACACTGATTAATCAAGAAATAGAATCTTATCGTACATCCCTTCTGAAGAGCTTCGAAATTTTTTTATAAAGCTTTTCGGAAAAAGAAAGTTAAAAAAGGTAAGAAAGTAATTAGTTATAAGTTGTCAGGATTACTTTGATGCTCCAGCTTAGGCCAACCATTGTCATTAAACTAAGACAATGATGAACTGTCGTTGAAGTAAAATATTTCGCAAGCTAGAATTCCTACAATTAGCATACCAAGTACAAACAATTCAGTAGCATTGACTGTATCTTATGGTGAACAGTAAAATGAGAATGAGGAAAATTTAGTCCTAATTCTCAGAATCAAACTAAATGCAAAGCAACTCAAAAAATATACTTTAGAACAAGGGATCTTATTTGACTGATTTCCTTAAGTTACTAAAAGCAGTAACCAGTGGTTTAAAAATCACAGATGTAATCCAACAACCTAAATTTAAAGGGCATTTTAGGAACTATTGAAATAATCGGTAAAGCTTCTTTGTTTTGGCTGGAAAGATAATTATTGCAGTAGTTGCTAGGGTACTCTCTAGAGTCGCTCAATCAGTAATCTGATGCTCGAATCGGTTACTAGTGGGTAACGCATATAGCTGTCTAGTCTTTAGTTGTTAAAACTAATCAAAGTTTGTCGATCAAGTTTCCTAATGTGGCAATGCAAAGTCAAAATACACCGCTCCGCAGTGTCATAGCACTTTGCTTACCCAGTGACGATTAATTCGTGCACACAATCGAGTCCTACAGTGGGTCAGTAATGGCGTGAGCAGCCTGGAGGTTATTTTTTTAACTTCATCACTGAGTGACGTAAGTTCCGATCACTGTAGGAACAACAGTTTCATCATGGTCACAGACATGCCTTGCTGGCGAGTACCAGCAATCACAAAACCTAGTTCCAGGTCTTCCTGCCGACTGATCCCACCAATTAGTATCAAAATATCTAATCCTACATATTCTAACACATTTGAAGAACTCATGTTTCTCACCCACTGATGTCGGGTTAACTTTCACAGTTACAGTCTGTTATGATTCACTTGCTTCCATGTGACGCATACTTTTGTTTCATTCTAGTAAAAGCGTAGGAAGCTGAACTATGGATATTGAGGTGTTCTTTAATCATATCATCTACCGTGTAAACTCAGCCTAACTACCCACAGTTATTTTCTACGTAACTTCTATTAGTAAATGGGTGTTTGTTAGCGAATCACTTAATCATTCAGCCCGAAATAACCAACACTGGATGCCTGATTTAGAAATAAAAACTTTTAACTCTAAAGTAGATAACAACTGTCCGGTTGTGTTCCTCAAGTATGCTTCAGACTATCAAAATCATTTATCCAACAAATTCGAAAGCTTTATTGGTTAAACAATGTTTTCCGGAATCATGAACTATAATTTGCTTCGATGGACAACCTATTAAACTTTATTTCTACAACCAAAAACGATGTAATTTTAATATTGCTCACTAAAGTTTATATGTTTTCTCATAAAGTTGATCAACTTTTGCTTAAACTGATTTATTAACTATTGGAGTCCAGTTAGTCTTTGCTCCCTAGTGTTGGTTTGTAACATTAAGTATATTGTGTTAATCATTATATTCACATAAGAGCCTTTTATGTAATCCAAGAGAAGTTTTTGGTGGCCAGCTGCTGCATCTTCTGATATCAGATCAGTGTGATCTTTATTCAGTGAGTAGGCTCCTATATACAGTCATCACTCCACTGTCTTACTTCAACTGTTCATTACGTAGATGCACTTAAAATTCATTTGCATTTTAGATTATTGTGGTGACAATATAAAAGGTATACTAATGTGCATCGGTAAAATAAGTGTAAGTGAAATATGCGGGAAAACGAGATATAGTGCAGTGTAAAATAATAAACGAATCACCTAATTAGAAATGAAAGGAGTAAGTATGGTTAGGTACAGTTTTCCTCAATTTTAATACCTAGACCCATGATTACTTATATCGTTTTATATTGTTTCATTATTATTCAATTCCTCATATCTGTCAGGTTTCAGTATTTATCACCAGAGATAATAATATCCAGTCGAAATCCTTCCTTATCGTTTCCACACGTTGTTGAATTTTCGGCTGCAAAAAGATAAATGTTTTCCAATGTCTTTAAGAATGTTAATAGTGGGAATAAACGTGGCTTTGTTTAAGCAAAACGTTCAAGTGGCAAAATATACCAGTTGAACACCAGTATGGTTTTCAAATTCGACAAGTCAAAAACCATACATCAACTGATTGGGCAGAGAATATGGAACGCAAATTAAAAATTTGCAGTCATTACACGACATAAAGTACACAAATTTTCTCAAGTTCAATGAAAGATACCAGACTAAAGGTTTTTTAGAACTCTGTAAAGTTCATTTCTACACTCACCACTTAACATTTATCAACAGCCTGCTAAGCTTCTCATAACCCTTCAATCACCACTTGCAAATCACAGGTCAGATTATGGTCATTTCCTTTCAGTGACATTTTTACATATAATTAACTGTTTTATTTTAAATAAAACTTTGGTCCTTCCACTGCATTTAATTGATCAGCCACATGGATAGAAATCTTGTAGTTTAAATGCATTTAGTTGGACTATGGGATAGTCATCACCAAAACATAACGAATGATTGTGCTAAATTGTATGAAAGCTTTCAATCTACTCATCTAGAAATATAGTGCATATTTGATTAACCATCAATTTTTAGTCATTCACTTAACTTACTATTGCAAAAATTGTACTAGCAAGTATATGTAATTAAGTACATAAAAACTACCTTGAGATCACCAAGTGAATAATTTTGAAATAACGCACAGGATATATTTCAAATATATGGCTTTATGTGCGATGTACTCAAGATTTTGGTAATCTGAAGAACTTTACATCAGTAATCTTTGTACTAGGAATAATTATGAGTTCTATTTTCTTGAGAAACAAGTGAGGAATCAACAGAAATTTATGTTACTTTAAAGTGGAGTACTGTTGGAACATACAAAATTATAGACGTAATTACGTTATTCATGATATTTACTATATATAATACAATCAAATTTATCTTAGAATTTGAAGTTTCGCTTAATCTTCACGGAATTCAGCACTGAGTACTTAGGATCGGGCGTGGACTAGATACGAGCTTAAACATGAAGTAGTGTTCACAGGATACTGTTTACCTCATAAGAATGAGGAATTCGAGGGTAGTTTGCAGTCATGACATACCTTAATAGATTAGATGAAAAAAATAATTTAACCTTTCCCTTATTTTTAATATAATAAATTGAAACGTAATAACAGTTTAATAATTCGATGCTGCTGATGATGAAAAAAACATCCTTTAAAAATTTTACCCGCATTATATTCAATCTAATTAAATTGTTCGAACTTCAAACCATTTTGATTACTTCTATCGACAAATGCTTGCACAAAAACAATAACTCATATTCATGATTATCGTATTGTATGTACCTATGTAACATAAACACTTGCCAACCCTTATCACAGTTTGAATGTAGACATTGCTTTTATGCATTCTGTTTTACTATCGAAAAGAGAACGAATTAAATAGGCGGAGAAATAAAGATAAATATTTATTTAATTAGTTAATACAAAAGCAAATGCGGGTACTCGTTCAAGACTACTCATCTACATTTTACTATATTAACAGTAATATTTCAGCATGAATCTTAATTCTGCCGGACAGACAGATGGACCACACTTCTTAGCATCATAAGGAAGTAAAAAAAATTATGAAAGAATATATTATTATTTTATGACAATTAAGTGAGTCGAACTTAAATGATTAAAAGACCTCATCTACCAATCGGTCAACAGACAGTTAATCAATATCATGACCTTTTCTTTTAATCATAGGCGGATAGTATAGGTGACAAAAAGCCGGAGTGATTAAAATGGATGGATTGACTCAGTATTTGGAGAAAGACGATAAAGAAATAGAATGAAGTCCTGGTTCAACTTTCCTAATCTAAATATAAATTATTCCCATCAGTAAATGTTGAAGAGTATTTTAGTACTACAAATATAACCACTTTCATTGGTATCTTGCACACGAACCTGTTTCACTCTGCCAGCTTACAATGAAATGGAAGTGCTTTACAAATGAAGTACAGTCCAGAATGTTTTAAATGAAATTCAACGTAGAGCCTTGGAAGGAGTGGATCAGTTCAAATTGACACACATCACAACAGCATAAATAGAGGAACTAGATAGCAAAAGAATAGTATAACAGTAAACCGAATCTAAGAGTGAAACTTGGGCACTTTTGTAAAGTATAATTCTATATTAGTTAAAAAATAAAGGAAGATATATGAATAAGGGAGAAGATTTAAATGAAAGTTTTAGAACAAAAGACATTTAGCAAAGAGTTACCCCTCTTAGCAATATCATTCTCAAGCTGTACAATCGCATATACATAATTCACATTGTAACAGAAAAAATATTTCATGAAATATTTTGGAATCAAAAATATAGTAGTGGAGAAATGTAATATATGAGAGGATCTGAATGAAAAGGCTTTTGAAAGTGGAAACGTTCTTATACGTTATGTCCATTGGAACTCGAGTGACTGGATAAATTTCTTTTGAACGCAGAGTTCAGGCTTCAAAATAATAATTGTTATGGCTTCCGCAGTTTGAAGGAGTTTTCCGCGTACACCTTTGGTTAGATTTGTGAGAACTCTATAAATGACCCTAAAGCTGTTTTCTGCACTTACTGGGTGGTCATAATCGGTCAGATGTTCTAGAATAGACCTGTGAACTGTTCTCCTTTCCCATTGTAGAACCAGGCTGGTATGTGTTTAGAAATGGGTTTGGAAAGCGAACGGTTACTGCGCCCGATATACCTCACTCCACTGGAGCAGGCGAATTGATAAACACACACAGAGGTGGCCAAGGAGCACATAATCAAAGCATTGGGTACGTGGAGAAAGAAAG